AAGGAATACGCTGCATTGGAGTTCAAGGCAGCCGAAGACGCGACCCTCGCTCTCGCTATGAACGGCATTTCCATGCGCGATGACGGAGGCGCACCTGATAGGTCGGGTCTGTCTATCCGCCGTCCGAAGGACTACATTACTCCCACCGCCGACGAGAACGCATACCCGCCTGGTGATGAGGTTTCATCTGTTGTCAAGGACAGCCCTAACAAGCTGAGCATTGTCAATATTCCCACATACATCGAGGAAGAGCAGATTCGAGAGCTCGTCGAGACTATGGGCAAGCTCAAGGCCTTCACTTTGGTCAAGGACACCGGCACCGACCAGCACCGCGTACGCACTTCCCAACCCACTGAACCTACTGAACTAACACAGCCCAGGGTATTGCATTCTGCGAGTATGCTGACAACGGTGTCATCGACGCCGTTATCGAAGGTCTCAACGACATCCCGCTCGGCGATGGTAACCTCAAGGTTTCGCGCGCGACTGTCGGACTCCAGCAAACGACCGGCCTCGACGGTGGAGTTGGCGCCATCTCAATGTTGGCAGGAGCCAGCGCTGCTGAGAACCACGAGCACAGCCGTGTCATCTGCCTGATGAACATGGTCACCTCGGACGAGCTGCTCAACGATGATGAATACGAAGGTAAGCTCGGCAACATCACATGAAACACTGCGCACTTCTAACATCGAACAGAAATCAAGGAAGACATCGAAGAGGAGTGCGGCAAGTACGGACCCATTATCGAGACCAAGATTCCCCGCCCCGCCGGTGCCCGCGTCAACCTCGGTGTTGGCAAGATCTACATCAAGTACAAGGATACAGAGTCTGCCCAGAAGGCTATCAAGGCGCTTGCCGGTCGTCAGTTCTCTCGGAGAACCGTGGTCGCAACAGAGTTCTCTGAGGAAGGCTTTGACGTTGATGCCTGGTAGATATGAGATTGTTTGCGTTGCGCGTTCGACTTCTTCGGGTTGGTGCAGTTGCACGCCATTATTGCCGCGTTGAGGAGTACCAAAAAGAGAGAGTGAAGCTCAGCATTTGTACACTAATTTGGTTCCAGGGGATGTTAGCATGCCCATCGCTGAGATGGTACGAGTATGTGGTCGTATCTTGAATACCTAGGCTAGAGTGCCAGATTGCGCTCAAAGTAGCCTTGCCTAGATATCACACCGCATTGTTATTGCAGTCGATGAATTTGCCATGTGAACACTGTTTACCGATGATAAAAGTGGTGGCCTGAACCCGCTACGGCACTGTTAGACCGCCCGTGGGATGATGATGAATAGGAGCTAATTCCGCCTTAATGCCGTAGCTGCCGTCGCTAAGCCCGACGCTACTGAAGATCCGAGAATCGTTTGGTCCGTCACGGTCATATGTGGTTCGTCGCGTTCCACAGTAGCTCGTTTTGGCGTGAGTCTCAAGGATGCTGCCCAGGAAGGTCTGGAACTTGGTGATATCATATCCCAAGAATACATCCTCTCGGTGCGGGACGGAGAGATTGAAAGCGAACCCCCGCGTGCCGTCAAGGTGCGCGCTTGCCCTAGTCAAGCGCGACCTTTAAGCCCACCGTGATATCACGACGTTAAAAGCGCAAGAGCGCCCTCAACATCGAAAATCTTCATCACCTATCCCGACCAATACCTCCCAGGCTCGTAGCCTAACTATCATCATGGCAAGCATCAGGCGTTTCTTCTACTCCCAACTTTTTATCACGCCACCCAAACCTACCGGCGACCTAACTGGCAAGACCGTCATCGTTACTGGCTCCAATGTCGGTCTTGGGAAGGAATCCGCACGTCACTTCACCCAGCTCAACGCCTCCACCGTCATTCTCGCCGTGCGCTCCATCGAGAAAGGCGAGGCAGCGCGCAAGGACATCGAATCAAGTACCGGCCGCAGCAATGTAGTCAAAGTCATGCAACTCGACATGTCATCCTACCAATCCGTCCTCGATTTCGCCCAGAAAGCAAGCAAAGAGCTCGAACGAGTGGACATTGCAGTTCTCAACGCCGGCGTGACCCGCGCTGCATGGGAAGTTTTCGAACAAGACGAGTCTACCATCACCGTGAACGTCGTTTCTACCTTCCTGCTGGCCTTCGCCTTGTTACCCAAGCTCAAGGACACGGCAAGCAAGTTCAACATCAGACCCACGCTTACCATTGTGAGCTCCGAAGTGCACGAGTGGGCGACTTTCGACGAGATCAAAGCACCCGAGGGCAAGCTCTTCGAGAGACTGAACGAGAAAGTTGTTAATGGGAAGGATGTTAGCCTAAACAACCGGTATCAAGTTAGCAAGCTACTCGAGGTACTCTTTGTCCGCGCATTCTGCGAGCGATACCCCGAGTCGCAAATCCCAGTCACCGTCAACCTTGTCAACCCTGGCTTCTGCCACTCGTAAGTTTACTGTCTTCCATTTCACTGTCTCTCTTATGCTAATCCTTTGAAAGCGAGTTCGGTCGCGAAAATGGAATTGCCGTCGCGATTGGACGCTTCCTTCTTGCGCGAAAAACGGAAGTCGGATCAAGGACTCTCACGCACGCTGGTATTTCGGGTGTTGAGACGCACGGCAAGTATCTCAGTGACTGTGAGATTACGGAGCCGAGTTCTTATGTGCGTAGTGAGGAGGGTAAGAGAGATCAAGAGAGGGTTTGGAAAGAGTTGACAGCGAAGTTGGAGGGTATTAAGGCTGGGATTACAGAGAGCTTTTAGGGCGGTGATACAATGAATCGGCTTTCGAACTACATGAGCTGCAGTCAGTGACGTACAGAGCTCACTTCAACTGGCACAGACATTCTTGGCTGGGTACTTTCGCCTTTCGTTTTGAGCTAACCCCCTTGCAAGGTCCCGACTTTCACCAGTTCTACGCACACCACACACTCAACTGAGAGCTCAGGTCTACAGCCATGGCCACCGGTATGAATACTGACTACCCCGTCGTGCCGATTCGAAGATATCTCGATGCTGTCGAAGACATGGCCGTACCGTCTAGACGCGCACAGGGTACCGGCCGCGCATATACTCGCCCACCGTTGTCGTTGTTCGAGCAACTTCCGTTGGAGATTCGTCAAGAGATATATGGATGGCTCGGCTTCCCCATCGGCGGCAAAGTATGGGAGCTTATTGCCACGACGCAAGGTGGAATGCGTGTACGCACGACCATACAATATATCCTCTTCCCAAGATGGGATTTGTTCCCAGAGGGTTTTTATGATGTCAAATATGCGACTGCTCATTCGCCACTACAATCAAGGTGGAACTGCGTGGAAGAGGTAAATCACACGAGAGCATGTCGTACGTCACTAAAACTCTGCAGCTATTCAGTTGGCGGTCTGGACTTCTGTTCGTCTCTACGGGCATTCGACGCGAACTTTGGGATACGATCTTCCGGAGCATCGACATAGTGTTCGGTTTCCAAATTAGCAGCAAGGCTGTCCATTTTAGTGACCCACACGGAGGAGGGAACTACGGCAATGATCGACCGAAGTAAGCTTGCGACAATACTCATATCACTGGTGTTAGAGGCTGATGTTTTAGGGGCTTCTACCGCATGCACCTCAAGGATGAGCAATTTGCCAATCTAACCAAGGTCACTCTCACTGAGAAATGCGGTCATACATATTCCACCGACAACCCTCATCGCATGGCCAAAGTCTCACCCCGCTCCATACTAGTTCGCCAAGCGCATTCCGTACGATACATCGCAGATCATTGTCCCTTTCTCACCCAGTTCCGGATACAGCCTTACCTCCAAGGCTCCGTGACCTGGAGTTCACGAAAGCGCCATGGCCTTCGTGGCGTTGCACCAAAGTCTATGGAAGCTCTGATTCGGGCTATCGTATACCTCTCAGAAAAGTGTGAGTATCTAGAGACCATCTACATACGGGCCGTAGTCGAGGTTCACAGGACAAAAGATTGCTATTTGGATCAAAAGCAGTGCAGACTCAACCATCGCTTAGGTTCGTGTATGTGCCGAGATCAAGATTACGGGTACTTATTGGAGGAAATGAGCTGCGCGGAACGTGTGGATGGGGTGGAGATGTGGGTAAGGTGTTTCCTTGATCGCTTGCGGATGCACAAGCCTGTTTGGGAGTTGGAGGAGTGATCTTGCAGTCTTTGAGCTTAGCGTTATCAGTGCGGAATATGTTGGAGGACCGAAGTCTTGCGACGAAGGCTTTCATGTATTGCACTAAGCTACTGATCGCTACATGTAAATTATCAACATTTCCGCTTAATCACACATTGCAGTCGTCTCTCTGACAGCTGCAGTACTTCAAAGATCAATCTGAGCCGCAGGTCTCGCGATGTTGGTACGCCAGGTGTGCACATTCACTGGGTTCTTCTGGTAGACGTTGACTTCGAAGAACTTGTTGTGAGCCGCACACTTGAAGTTCTTGTACCTAAAATGCTATTAGTCTCAAATTGTCTTGATTCATCATCTTCACTACACTGACGTGTTCAGCTTCTCGAAGTCCGCATCAATGAGCCATTGCTCAGTCACCTCAGCGAATGTGCCATCGGGACCGGTAACAAAGTATCTCTTGCTATCCAGCGGGCCGTAGTCCGCTTGCTTGACGACTTGAACTGCGAATGTAACGTTGGTCGCTGACGGCGCGGTACCAGTATCGCTTGCTTTGGGATAGTTTCCCCAATCCATGAATGTTTCGAACTTGGATTCGTGGGACAGATAACGGTTTCTATATCCCTGGATATCTGAGCAGCAGAATATTGAAAGCATGATTGGCAAGTAAACTGGATATCCGTTCCAGTGAGCGGTTTCTGTGGCAGGGGAATGAGCTCCAGAAAGTATGTGTAGCTCTTATAATTGCGCAGTGTTTGTCAGTGAATATGCAGCAGCAGACATGAACAAAGAAGGTCCGTCACGTGCAATTTGTATCACTGGTTCTTGCGATTACGGCATGATTGGTGAGAAGGTAAGGCTCAATTCGTCTATACTACACAAACTACAACTAAAGGGTATCGTCTCATCTAATCATAAGCTCCTAGTTCTTGAGCACGTAACGGTACCTGGGAAGGCCCTTCTCGAAGTCAACGATAACATCGTTGGCCTCGGACATAGGCCTGACCTGAACCCAAGCCTTGAGGTTGGTCTTCTTGGCCAACTCCAACATGTCGCGGATGTGCTGCCTGGTACCGATCAAGCTACCAGCGATCTTCAAGTTCTTGAAGATGAGGCCCATGGGGGAGAAAGAGGGCAATGGGTCGTCGGGGGCACCGAGCTGAACGAAAGTACCGTTGACGTCGAGGAGGTTGAGGTACTGGTCGAGAGGGAAACCACCGGAGATGGTGGAGATGATGATGTCGAGGCCGGCGGCGTTCTTGTTCATCCAGTCGGGGTCCTCGCCGGTAGCGATGAACTTGTCAGCACCGAGCTCGAGAGCGTCGGCCTTCTTGCTGGAGGAACGGGAGATGGCAACGACCTCGTCGCATCCGAGAGCCTTCGCGAAGAGGAGGGCGAAGTGACCGAGACCACCGATACCGACAACACCGACACGCTTTCCTGGGCCGGCACCGTACGAGACGAGAGGGTTGTAGACGGTTACACCACCGCACATGAGAGGGGCGGCGAACTCTGAAGGAAGACCCTCGGGGATGGGGATGGCGAAAGCGGCAGGTCCACGCCAGTTCTTAGCGTAACCACCCATGGCCTTGTCGCCGGTGCTGTACTTGGCGTTGTAGGTCATGACGAAGTTGTTGCAGTTGCTCTCCTGCTTGGTCTTGCAGGGCCTGCAGCCCTCGCAGCAGTCGCTCTGAGCACCAACACCAACGCGGTCACCGACCTTGAGGTCCTTGACATCGTCTCCTACGCGGGTGACCTTTCCGATGATCTCGTGACCGACGACGAGGGGGTAGTCTGAGGGGCCCCAGCCGGAGCGGAGAGTGTGGATGTCGGAGCCGCAGACACCGCAGTGGCTGATCTCCATCTCGATGTCGGTAGACTCGAACTTCTTGGGGGTGTAGTCACCCCATTGCATGTTGCCATCGGCGGCGGAGGGGTCATGGGCGACCCATCCCTTGAAGTCTGGTGAGGAAGACATGATTGTTTGGTGACGTTACTGAGTAGGAGGGGAAGAATGAGTTGTCGTATGAGAGGTTAGGATTGTTTGATGAGATGCAGAACCTACAACTACTTCTCGTCGGTCTTATACCTATACACATTTTCTAGAAGTTTTCCAGCATTTGTAATACATCAAGAGACGGTATGAGGTTGCCGTTTCGTTATCCTAGTGTTTTGCTCTTTCGCCGATCTACGCCGACGGCATCGGACCCACTTTGACGACGTTTTTGAGCCTCAAGCGGTGCGTGCACAGCATATCCGTTAAACCCGCCCTCACCGGTCCGATAAGGGTATGGGTCTGAGGCGACAAGACTGCAAAACTCTCGGACGAGGCTCGCGGTGAAGACGTCAATCTGGGGCCAGTCCCGTAACGTGTATCATCGATCTGCCGCGACACGTGGAAAGCCCAAGGAGGAAGGCGTTTCGAACAGCGCTAATCTAGTTCCCGTTGACGTGTCGGGATTTAGAATCGGTTCGAATCTTTCTGTGCTTCTAGACCTGGTTTTGTTATTATGTCAACATCTCAGAGATCTCCCTTTGCGTTGACCGCCAGGCTGAACACGCGCGCTCTCTTCAACATACAACCCACCTCATGCCATTGTCTCATGCACTTGGCCTGACAATACCGGTTTTTATATCTCTCAGAAAGGGCCGGGGTTGTCATGCACAAGATCGTGTGACCGGAAGTAACATCATAACAAGTTAGCATATCAGGGACTAATTGAAGTAATCGCAGATCTCAAGGAAAGACACTGCAGTTTTATTAGCGGAGAGGTTCCTTCTCATCAAGCAAGTTTCTCCTTTATCCACTCAAGACCTTTTTTCAGCGCATGCTTCGCTTCTTCGTACTCTTGCCACTGAAGATTCACTTCGGCCCTTCTACGTTCAAGCGGTTCGCGGCCTGGTATCGAAAGCCTTGCGTCATAGGTTTCGGCGCCATCATCGAGTTTGATCTTGATGATGCGCTCCTCTTCGACATGACCGCAAAGGAGATCCCATACATGTTTCGTCACTTTGTCGAGTAAGAGCGTTGGTTTGTTGTCTTCGTATCGACAGATAATTGGCAGCTTGATGGAGAATCCGGAGGTGCGAGACCTCATCTCCAGTGGTAGTGTTCGTTCTCCGAAACCATGTTCGGAGCCATATAACGCCTCATCCAGGGCCTTGAGCGCACTTGTCCTCATAGACACTGTAAGCTTTTTTAGAGACATAGAAGATCAGCTAGCCAGAGTATGTGTGTAGAAGTTGAATATGAGTTGCTTCGCGCAGATGACAAGGATCTCAGTTACTGTGTATTTTGCTTACCGGTAAGCAAGCCCAAGACTGCGCTGAAGTCACGCCTGCGGTTAGAGTGACCATGCAAAAACCTTTTCCAGTCGCTCAATGACAAGTCATATGTAGCTTGATGGAATCTTTGAAGGCGTGAGTTGGGCAGCGCCACGACTGCACCACGAGGCGTTTTAGCTTAGCACTTCCAGGCGCTGCGTCCGCGGGTATGTGAAGCATGGCGGTGAATTCTGGATAGCAATATAAAGATATCAACAAAGTTCACAAGCTGCCGATGATGTGGCGATGAAGAACAATGGCTATGTTGAAATGCAGCTGTTGCATCGTGAAGATTGTTGGTGTTGAGATCTCGGGCGACATGGGCCGAAGCGGAGATGACGTCTAGCGTCTTGGCAGTCGTCATGGCTGGCCCAAACTCTCGATGGCAGACGATTCCGGAGAAACCACGATGCCCTTCTACAGTCCCGAATTCGAACGTGTGACGTTTGGAGTCCACGCGGAAACGAGCATTATGGGGTCGGGATGGACGAAGTGCAGCGGGCAGCGTTGTGAGCAGTTGAGCCCATGTCTTCAGATGATTGAGACAACGGCCACGGCTACAAGACATCAGCAAAACCGCCTTCTTCAGTGTGTCTGGGCGATCGTATAGCCTTTGCGTGTGCGACAAACACAGAGTCTAGGTTTCACACCATGTAAACCAGAACAAAGAAACCAATACTTATTTCATTGACATTGTGTGCCCGTTAGAGCTTTACTCAAAATCTGAAAACACCATCTTTCCCGTCAATATTCGCGGTGCGCGAATCGGAATTCGCCGAATTGACTATCGACACGCGTCCATCAAGTGGAAAAGATGGCGCCTGCTGAACCCTTGACCGATAAGCATGCCGTAGGCGACCAGACTGAAGCTGATGCGGTCTCCGTCATTAGCGATGATGAAGACATTGGAGAAGACGCGCGGAAAGATGTCCCGCTACCACCAGAAGTCAAAGGCGGACCTGAAGATGAGCCTTTCGAAACTCTTAAGCACAAAGCTTCACAGCTCATCCTCGATCTTTTTCCTGGTTACTGCGCCCGAGACGTAAAGATTGAACGCATGCAAGACGGAGAAAACAATCGCTTCCTCGGCGTTACGCTTTGTAAAACACCCCCTAAAGCGCCATGGTACACTACTCAGAGAATCCTCGAACTACTCCAGCCATGTCTTACTGGTCGGCCGACACGTCAAAACAAGCGAAAGCGTCTTGTTCTCCGCATACCACACAATCCTGATCAAAACATGCACCATCAAGCTGTCATGCTAGCGTATCTGGGCCTGAAGCTCGAACATCCAGTCCCCAAGATTGTCACCTTTGATCCGACCGCAGATAACGCGCTAGGTCGACCATACATGCTCCAAAAGCGGCTGCCTGGCCAAAGCCTGGACGTTCTCTGGCCAATGTTGAACCAAGCCCAGCGACTCAGTGCCGTGCGAGCCATCTCCACCGTTCTGCTAAATGTGAGGAAGATACGGAACAAGTGCCCAGGCCCCATCGGCATTCGCAACACGACCTACGATCTCAAGAACGATTTCGTCAGCACGGAGCCTGTACCCATTCCCAGAATTAAACAAACCACTGGCCAAGTGTCCTTCAACGTCGCACGTTCAGAGCCGCAAAGCACAAAAGAGTTCCTGCTCGATCTCTGTGCTCGCCAGCGTGTATATGCGACTGCTGCGAAACAGCCTGGTGGCAAAGAAGTGTGGGTTAGGATCGCCAAAGTGATTGAGACATTACATGAGTCCGGCCTCATCCCGGATTCTTCACCGTTCCACTTCTACCATGGCGACTTCAATGCACGCAATCTTCTTGCCTCTGTAACCTCGGAGTCAGAAATAGCGATCACTGGAATCGTAGGCTGGGATTCCGCGCTATTCGCGCCGGCTTTCATGAGCACGCGCGCCCCGTTTTTCCTATGGAGTGGCAATATGGGCAGCGAAGGCGAGGAAGGCGGTGCGTTGGTCGAACCGAAGGAGGCGGATTTGTTGGAGGCCAAGCGTGCTTTTGAAAGTCTTGTGGGCGACAGCTTTCTGAAGGAGGCTTACTCCCCAGCGCTGATTCTCGCGCGCCGGTTGTGGCGCTTTCTGGTCAGTGGTTTCACGAATGGTGCAGATATCTTTCTTGCGGAGGAGATTGTGGAGGAGTTCGAGAGGTTACATTCATCAGCGTAGGCTGGGTGTGGATGTGCAGTAGGGAGCTACCGTAACGTAGGGTCAGATTGTTCGCCGATGCGGTGGTAGCCGGCTAGAAAAACCCCAATTTCGTAGTTTAATAGTAACGCGTTGTGATTGTACTAGGTGTTGACTCGGCAGCAAAGACAAAGAGGCTTCCTTCTCTGCAACGAGGTCGCTATGCCATCGCTTCCACCCCATATACAGGCATTCAGATTGGTATACTTACCGTCAGTCGTCATCGCGCTCCTTGAGGACAGAAGTTCTGTGATCAAGATCATACGCGTCGTCGTATGTATCGAAGAAAGCCGGTTTTGACATACCCTGTAGTTGGTGGCCACAAGGTTGCCAGCCATTCGATACCCAGCCATCTGGACAATAGAGGTGCTGCATGTACTCATTCGCAATCTCTTCATTCGCTTTAGGCCATGCTTCAATAAAAGCTGGTAGAACTGTACACGTATAGTCAGTACGCGGAACGAGACATGCCAGTTGTGGGGTTGGCCTTACTATCTCCACAAGTGCGAACTTTGATGACAAAGTCAAAATGAATCCCGCATTGCCTGCACTGGATGGCATATTCGTGGAAGTTGAAGTGTGCGTCAATCTCCCTCTCTGAGACGTCATGATTCTCGCCCAGCACATACATTATGATGCCAAATTTCTGAAGACGAATGCTGCCACTCTGACATGCATCAAGTAGGCTTTGGACATGTGGATCGCATTGAGGTCGTTCATACCGCACGTCAAACACGCCTCGCCCGCCGCAAGAGTCCCAACCCTTGCTGAGTACGAGTGTTTCCAGACCCATTGGCAGAAGCTTGTCGAGACTTCGCTCTTCCGGCTTGTCGAGAGGACCTAGCGTGGGTCAGCAAGTTACAGATCAATGACGGGTATTGCATACTAATCAAGAGTTCAAACGGTACAGCAAGATACCGCAGACTGGCAAACTTTTGGAGTGTACCCAACCTCGTATCGCTGTATTCACGGCGTTCGCACAACTCCAGAGCTTGAAGTCCGGGTTGTAGCGTCTCCAACAAGGCCTTAGCCTCAGACCACTGCCACTGAGTATTGCCTGTGGCATGTGTTGACGACCCCCAAGAGAAGGATGTAATTGCCTTGCATGAGCCAAGAAGATTTTCCAACAATTCAAGATCACACTCGAAGTTTTCCAGTCGTATTTTTTCGACCTTGGACCTCTTCGGGGGACATCCCCAGGAAAAAGGGGGATCGCTGAGACTGGATTCAAGATAATCGTGGTCTGACAGGACTACTTCCCGTAGAGAGTCTAGCCGAAGGATGGGCGCTAGCCAGTTGATGTGCAATCCTAGCATTCGGATACTCAGTCTTTTCAGCCTTGTGAACTGGTGCACACGACCATAAGGTATCCCTAGGCTTGCGGAGAAAATAGGTAATAACGCCGCCTGTGGCTGGCGCTGGACCCAACTCCCATTCTCTCCTTCGGCACGTGCTGCTCCTGGACA